GAGGGGAAGAAAAAGAGCATAGGGAGACAGGACAAAACACAGACTAAGGGGGAGTGATGGCTAAAATTTAGTGACGTGCTGCAGTGGTATATAAACATGTGGGATGTCAAAGGAGGTGAGTGGAAAATAAATGCTCAGTGGATCACACAAAGTCCCACAGGCAGTGCGAGTCCATAGCAGTACATGTAAGGATTGGTTCCAGTTACCCTGATCCAGCCCTAACTATCAGCTTTATCAAATAAAGAACATTTTGAGTCTAATCTTAAAAGAAACAAGAGTGTGTGTGTGAATGTGAGGGGCAGGATTCCAACAAGGATGCAATAAAATGAAGCCAACACAGGACAAATATTGTCTCGTTGGTGACAAATATAGTGACAAACATGGTCTTCTCTGCTTTTCAGGGAGCTTTTACAACAAACTGATAATAATAATAGTCCAGTAGTTTTTTAGGATCACTGGATTGAGAGTTAAAAATTTATGAATAAACAATCCATCATAAGGGAAGAAATTATGAATTAAGGTTATTGTATTATGTATTATTATTGTTGTTAATTAGCAGTGAAAACAATAAATGACTTTAAAAGTTCTGAATAAACAATCAATACTAAGCTAACTACAGTTCCAGTCACATCACTTAATCAACTTTCATTTATGTCACTGCTAACACCTGCGCTGACCTACTATTTAATGTCACAGTGATTGCAGTGCATTACCATCCATGCTACCATCAGTTCAAATGAACATTCTGAAACATAATGAATGTGTCTGACTGACTACTGGGCTGATCAAAGAAGGCTTCGGTAATGACTTTACTATAAAAGAATAACAAATGACCAAAAAGATACTGTTGTGTTATACTACAAATGCTGAGCTCTGTTGAGAAGTGGACCTGTTTCTTGCGTAAACATAAAGGAGAAAATACACAAAGGTATTTCCAAAATGAGAAACTCATTTGTTTCTCTCAGCTTCGATTCAGATCCAAGTGCTTTTTCACCCTGCGTTATGAAGCTTCCCAGACCATGAATGCTGATCATTCTGAGCGTGTGGAAGCAGAACAAATCTTTCAAGTCCTGCAGTGACTTACTGCATGCACAACGTTGGGCTGAGGTTTTGAGGAAGTGCAGGACACTTGCTTTTTTCTGCTGAGGCTTATCCTTAATCTATTAGGCTAAATATGATACTGTAATTCCCTACACTTTTATTTCCCAGTAAAACTCAGACATTTACCACTGTTCATTAATTAGGGACACTTTTACAGGGCAATGTAGAAAAAAATCTAACAAAAGAAATGTTTACATAGTTCATTCTCATGTTATTTACACAAAACCATGTTTGATAAATTATCCAGAAGAAACCCACATTATGTGTTGCGTCCACAAGAGGAGAAAAATTAAACAAAAGCCAGCCTAGTTCTACATTTATTTCAGTATGAACGTCTCTTTGAAAAGTCTACCATTATTATCAAAATGGTGAATATCTGAAGCCTAGTTGAACTCATCTAGGATACAGAATTATGGAACTTTGAATCTTCAATGTTTGTTTGAGACACAAGCTGCAAGTGTTAGCCTAGCTAATGTGATTTATAATCATACTGTTACCCGTAACTTTTATTTGTACCTTTAACCGTGTTCATTTTTGATTGTTTTTTATCATTATTGTTTACATTTGTTTTCATAAATGTAAAAAAAACTCATCACAGCCACAGAAACCGCCATCCGGATTAATAAATTATCACAGACAGAAGCAGAGCAAATCAGGATGAAAGTCTCAGCCACCCTCTCCAGTGCCAAAGTCCCTCCATCTAACCTCACAATACAAGAAAAGAAGGCCGTCGCTTCCCTGAGCAAAGACCACAACATCACTATATTACCACCTAATAAGGGAAGGTGCACCGTGGTCCTAAACACAACGGATTACCACACAAAGATCACTACTCTCCTCAGTGACAACGATACCTACGAAGCCCTAAAGCGAGACCCCACAAGCAGCTAAAAAAGAAAGTTATAGCTTGCCTTCAAGACCTTGAAAAGGACAAAATCTTGTGGGGAACACCCCACATCACATCAAGAACTCCACCGACTTCACCGACAAGGTCCAGAAACTTACCCTGGATCCAGATGAAACCATGGTGTCCTTTCATGTAGTCTCTCTCTTCAGTTGCATACCCACAACGGAGGTAGTGGAGACTGTCAGAAAACGACTACAAGAAGACAGCTCCTTGGAAGACAGGACCAACTTCACACCCGATCAGATTTGCACACTGTTAGACCTCTGCCTCACCACTACATATTTCAAATACAACGAGGGTTTCTACAGACAAAAAACATGGCTGTGCCATGGGCTCCCCCGTGTCACCTATTGTAGCCAACCTTTACATGGAGGAAGTGGAAAGGAAGGCTCTTGGCTCTTT